TAAGATGAAAGCAATTTTCCATTAACTGCCAGTGGCCTCATTTGTTACACTCAGCCCTAGAGGGCCTCGAACCTCTGACTAGTCTTACAAGGTCTGCAACACTTGGTTTTATTTTTACCAGCAGTTCGTGACAGTAAAGTTTCAGCACTATCTAATCTACCATTTTGCTTAAGCCAGCCATCTTTTCTCTTATTCTTTACTGGCTTATTCCTGGTCACCTTTGAAGTCTCAGCATACATGTTACTGTTCAGAGAGGTATTGCCTAACTCCCTCCCATCCTGATCTAAATTGGTTTACTCTTTTATATTATCTATAAACAATTGCCATCGGACAGGTTCTAATTCATGGTGAGGTGACCCCATGTATGTCAGAATAGAACTGCACTCCATAGGGTTTTCAGAACTGTGACCTTTGGGAAGCAAATCACCAGGCCTTTCTTTTGAAGCACCTCTGGGTGGCTTCAAACTGTCAAACTTTTGATTGGTGCTTTAACCATTTGTGCCAGCAAGGGGACCTTACACTGCTCACAGCATTATTTTACTAACTTAGTACTTAGCCTGTCCCCTGGTCATCAGCACACAGCCCCTCTCGCTCTCTGTGTCTAAAGTCCCCAGCTGCTCCATCTTCCTTCCATTTTCTTTTGATACTTTCTGTTATCATTCAATATTTTGCCCAGAGAATCCTTTAATAATTACAAGTTGAGGCTTGGATTTTTTCTTCAGTTCCCTCAACTTGAGAAATGCTGGGGATTTTCTTCCTTTTGGTTTTATACTGATAGTATTCAATGGTATCTTCTAAAATTGAAAAGTCATATCTTCTCTGAAAACTGTATTTTCCAAGAAGAAAATGCTTTTAATGGGAAAACAAACATTATTTTAGTTGACTCATTTTAGAAAAGCAATGCTCTTCAGCTTTTGGTAACTGTGTATGTCTTTTCCCTTTTAGAATGGAGATCTCTTCTCATCAGTCTCACCTCCTGCAACAACTAAATGAGCAGCGCAGGCAAGATGTATTTTGTGACTGCAGTATTCTAGTGGAAGGGAAGATCTTCAAAGCACATCGGAATGTATTATTTGCGAGTAGTGGCTACTTTAAAATGCTTCTTTCTCAGAATTCAAAGGAGATAAGTCAGCCAACCACCGCTACCTTTCAGGCTTTCTCCCCTGACACTTTCACTGTTATTCTGGATTTCGTCTATTCAGGAAAGCTGTCGCTTACTGGTCAGAATGTCATAGAAGTGATGTCAGCTGCTAGCTTCCTTCAGATGACTGACGTCATTAGTGTGTGCAAGACTTTCATCAAATCTTCATTAGACATTAGTGAGAAAGAGAAAGATCGCTATTTCAGTCTTTCAGATAAAGATGCCAGTTCTAATGGTATAGAACGTTCTTTTTATAGTGGTAGCTGGCAAGAAGGAAATCGTTCTCCACATGCTCACCTAAGCCCAGATCAAGGAACAGGAGTAATAGGTGGAAAGTCTTGGAGTAAATACAATTACCATTCAGCCTCCCAAAGGAATGCTCAACAACCTTTGGCCAAGAATGAACAAAAGAAAGAGTCTATGAAAAAGTCCAAACATTTGAAGGTGTCACAGCCTTCTGAAGTTGTTCATTATAAGTCAAGCAAACGAGAAGCACGGATATCTGATTCTTCCAGCCACGCTTCCCAGTCTGGAGAGCAAGCACAAGTTGATACTGAAATGGACTCCTCTCCTGCTGGCTACCAATATGCTCAAGGAGCTGATGTCACATCAAGAAGTTTTCCAGGTAACCGAAAAATGCATACGTTCCCTCAATCCAGTTCTTAATCTCCTATAGGAATCAACCAGCATTGCAGGAATTTTGGGTAGAAGTGACTTTTTTTTTTAAGTCTTATTTCTCTATGAAATTTGTTTCTTAAAACATAATTCTTAAATTTTTCATTTAAAATAGTACTGAAATTTAATGACATTTAAAGCAATAGCATAGATGGATTGGCAAAGTGGCAGCATCAATGGGCTCAGGCGTGGCAACGATAGTGAGGTTGGCCCAGGATCGGGCAGTGTTTCGTTCTGCTATGCATAAGGTCGCTGTGAGTCGGTACTGACTCGATGGCACCTAACAACAACAACATACTTAGGTTTTAAAAAAATCTATGATTATCTATAACTGTTATCTGTGGGTGGTCAGATTACTGCTGAAATTTTAAAGGTTTTTTTTTTTTTTTAATAATTCAATCCCTAAGACACTTTTCACTTGAATAGTTTTGGTTGTTTTTCTCAAGTATTCACTCGGGAAAGGAGCCCTGGTGGCATAGTGGGTTACGTATTGGGGTTCTAACTGCAAGGTCCTCAGTTCAAATCCAACAGCCACTCGTCAAGAGAAAGAGGAGGCTTTATACTCCCATAAACATTTACAGCCTCTGAAACCCAACATGGTGGTGATGGTGGTTATGTGCCATGGAGTCGGTTCCAACTCATAGTGACCCTGCATAGAGTTCCCAAGGCCTTGAATCTTAACAGAAGCAGAAAGCCTCATCTTTCTCCTGTGGAACAGCTGATGGTTTCTAACTGCTGACCTTGAAGGTAGCAGCCCAACTCGTAACCACTACACTGCCAGAGCTCCTCGAAACCCTACATAGGGTTGCTAAAAGTCAGAATCAACTTGATGCAGTGGTGTGTTTGTTTTTTTTTTTTTTTTGCCCAGGAAAAGTATCTGTATACAGAAAAGTTAAGCAATCATACATATTTGCAAAGATTCACAGACCCAAGACCTATCTTTTTTTGAGTTTAGAAAAATTATTTTAGATATATAAAAGTAAAGGAAATTGAGGGTTGGAAATGTAAAGGCAGACATTTTGTAGCAGGAGCGGAGGGCCCTGGGACCATCAAGGCAGAAGAGTGGAGAGCGGGTCCCTACCCAGAGAAGTAGTGACACCAGAGGCAGAGACGATGA